TTAAATGTTTTACACAAAAACATTGTGTAAAAAAACATTGTGAAAGGAAGAAGTCTGAACTTTTTCTTGACAATTTAATTTAAAGCAAAACTTCATGTTTCAGTCCAGTCTAGAAAAAGGTGTGAATTATTTTGCAGAAACAAAAACAATCTAGCAAATGACATACAAGAATTCCCGAGGGTGTTTGCAAACATAACATAAAATAAATAGACTACAATTCTCTGGTATCACACATCATGCTATGCCAAATATAGTTACTTCCAAGTATGTGAATATAGAAATAGAATCGTATTATAGAATAAGTTTCACTATATTCATCAAGGCTTATTTCTGAAGTGTATATGGTTGGTTAGCTTATACTTTAAAAAAACCACAGCTATTTATCAAGCCAATTGTGTTTTTCCATGATGCTTTTAAAGATAATCTATAGAAATGGGTGTCTTTTAAAACAGATTGGATGACTTTGAAATATAAAGCAATTCCTTCAGTTAGATTACCTTAAAACATTCAAATGCATTGTATTGCATGATTTAAATGCATTTTATTGCATGACTAAGTGTCAGCCCAATGATAATAGAAGAATACATTCAACATGAAAATTTCCTCTTTTCTTCTCCTTCTCTTTCTTCTCCCCCCACACCTCCGCACCAACTCTCTCAGAGCAACACATTTGCTTTTGTTTTTAATACTCATTCTCATGAATGACTGCAACTCAGATTAATTGCTAGCCTTCAGGGTAATTTCTTCTGAAATTACTGTTTAGTTAATAAGAGACTAATCCAAAATAACTGCTGATAAAATATTGTGTATGCAACTTGGTCATGTAGTTAGGAGTGTTAATATCAATTAATTCTACTCACACTTGTTTTAAAACAACTTCATTTTCCCCTCACCATATGTGTAATTACACAGCTGTAACTAATAGCCATGGAGAAGCAATCTACCAACTAAACAACTGGCATTAGCGTTCAAAGTACTACTTGAGCTTTGCTTCTTTTGTTTTCACACAGTGAGTAAGGGATTATTAAATGTACATATCATGCTTTTTAGTAAAAGGCTCAACTTACACTGTGAATTTGGCTTTTTATGGCTTATAATGGGTTTTTTTCTTCAGTTTTATTGTTCAAGATACTTAACATTAATTTACCCCATTTGTTTTTTTATAATTTTTAAATATATCTATATCTATTTACTGTGTCAATACCATTACCCAAGTCATTTATCCCTTTTTCAGAACATTTTCTACCAACATTTTCATCATTTTTGTCTCATGTGAGTTGATAGTATATTGGAAACTTCAATATTTTTAACTGAGTTTTTATGAAATTACATAATAGAGAATAAATTGCAAAAAATATTTGGGGATCTATTGTATAGCTGTTCATTACAGTATTGTAAAAAGCAGTGACATTTTGCTTCAGTAAACACAAAGAATAAATTACAGGAGGTGGAGCGTATATACCATTCTGAGAGCTTTTAAATACTCCTTCCTCATTCCCACTGAATGGTAGAATATGAATAGGTCGTGCAGCTAATGCTCATATTTAGTAATTTAAAGTGCATAGGCTCATAAGTATAATTACTTAGAATAGCATGTGCCTATCCACATCTAAGGAGTTTAGTAAGGATGAAACCAGCCACATGTGGTGACTCCTGGTGGTAAATGTAACTGAAATAACACACAGGATATGCACTGTGTAAAAATGCAAACGGAGGGAGCCAAGAGGATGGAATTTATTTTAAATTTATTTATAACTAATGTAAAAACTATTCCATGCCAACAAAGACAACAGATAAGTAGATAAGCACAATGGAGGGCATCATATTGTCAATATTAGGGCAATATCACATGTACAACAGGCTAATTACCTTAAAATTGGGAGACAAACATGTATACAATAATAATATAAGAATTTTTTCATACTTTCATTAATCACGTTAACATGTGGCTTTATCTTTTATTTCAATTTTATGGTAGTACTTTGATTGGGATATTCTTGATAGTTGGTCTAATGGTAATCTTGGTGTTAATCTCTGCTCATCTGGATATTGACTGTTAGTGAGGACTTATTTTGATATTTTTGTTTGAAACCCCACTTACTACTAGCACTGATGACGTTGCCTAATTTGGTAAGGAAACATTTGCAAAAAGGAAAACCCAACCGAGCTCAGAGAGTACCAAGGATCCCACAGCTTAACTTTGAGCTCTTCTAGTGGTTATCTGATTTTATTTTATTTTTTTCTATTACATCCCTTCTTTGAGCCACAGATTAACACTGAATCCTGTCCATATACAGTATTTCATTTATTTATTGGGAAAACTTTTAGTTCACCAAAATCATACAATGTTCACCAAACTATGCAGTATATATAAAACAAGAATTGAGACATCTGTGATTAGGTTAAAAATGAGAAAAACACTAAAAAACCTCCCAAATATTATAGGAATAAAGGGAAAAAACATCAAAAAATAAAATAAAACTAAATATAAATGTAAGAAAAAAACCCTCTCTGAAATAATTGAATTTTAATATTTGCCAAAAAAGTTAACAAGAAGAAAGTGATCTAATTTTGTGTCTGAAGGCTGTCCCAAAGCATCAATGCTGCCAGAGGAAAAAATGACCATCTAGCTTTAGGCTCCTGAACTACTTTAAAAATGTGGTATAGGTAGTCCTCGAGTTACAAAAGTAATGGAGCCTACCCAGTCCATTTGTAACCTGGGGTGGACTTCAAAAAAATTCTGTACCCTAGTTGGCCTCCTGCACCACCCTGGACTGGGAGAAAAATGGGCCACCGGGGCCGGTGTTTTCACCCTCCCCAGGCTCCAGAGGCTTTCCTTGGGCCTCTGGGAGGGCGAAAACAGCTTCCCCGGGCTCCAGAGGCTCTCTGGAAGCCAAAAACAGGCCCATTTCTGGCCTTCCAGAATTTCTGGCTGGCCCATTTTGCGCCCTCCCTAGGTTCTGGAGGCTTTCCTCAAGCCTCTGGGAAGGCAAAAAAGGCCTCACTGGGCTCTGTAGGCTCTCTGTAGGCCGAAAACAGCCCATTTCCAGTTTTCCGAAACTTCTAGGAGGCCCTAGAAGCCTCCACATGGGCCCTGCACTTACCTGCGATCTAAAACAGGCCACACAGGGACTCCTGGGAGGGGTGGGGCGGGGTGGAAAGAGCCAACCAGGGGAAGGATTTGCCAGTTCACTGAACTAGCCATAAAATTAACAACCGGTTTGCCTGAACTGATGCAAACCGATATCAGCCCACCCCTGTTCATAACCCAAGAATTTGTGGGAATCTCATACCTTGAACATGATCACTCCCTCCTTTCGCCCACGCATTCACTAATTGAATGTGACTCGTTAAATGCATTTGAGGCATCTCAAGGTGCGAATGCCATGGGGGGCCTTAGTGATGAAACGGGCCACCTGCCTCAGACCACCCAAGGCCTCCCGACCCACAGATACCTCCTTCTCCTTCTCCTGGGGTTCCCACAATTGGTCTTCTCCCATCCTGTCATGCTGGGTCACTTACCTGAAGATCTTTCTCCTCTCCAGCCTGTTTCTTTGCCTGTTTCCTCCTTTTTCGTCACTGAAGCCTTTCCCAAGCAGTCATTCTGGGCCTCCTTTCTCGCTGCTGAACTGCTTGAGGATGGCTTTGGTGACAAAACATGAGCCATGGAGGGGGCATGGATTCCTTCCTCACCTCTGAATCACTTGAGGGCAGCTTTGCTAATGAAAAAGGAGGCATGGAGGGCCTCCTTTCTCATTGGCAAAGCACTTGAGGATTGTGTCCCTGCAGGCTTCAGCAGCCCTTTGCAAAAGCTCTGTCCAAAGGAACAGAGCTTCGGAGAGAGGTGTCCACCCCTCCCAAGCTTCATTGGTGCCGACAAATGCTTTTTGCAAAGGGCTGCTGAAGCCTACAGGAATGCAATATTCCTGCAGTCTTGGGCAAAGAAATGGCAAATAGAAGGAAGGCTGAAGGATCGAAGACTTCGCTCTGTTTGCAAATGTCCAAGCTTCAATTCGCAGAGAACAGAGGCCTAAAGTGCGATATCATGCGAGATCAGTAGCTCGTACTATTGATCTTACATGATCTTGCTATACATTAGGCCTGTTCTCTGTAAATGCATTGAAAGCCTGAAGCAACAAAGTAGACAAAAAAAACTGCTAAAAAGAGATTTTCGCAAGGCGAGTCTCCACAGGCTGAGTGTCCATGCAGAACTGGTGGTGGTGGTGAATAGGCAGGGTGAATGTTGCAGAGCCTCTGTGGTCATTCATAAGGGCTAACAACTGCCATGTTTTTGCAACATTCATAATTTCAGGTCTTGTTTGTTAACACTAGGGGGCACTTATCATGTAATTTTGAAGGTTCGCTAAGGAAACACTCATAACCCTGTAGTACTTGTTTAATAACTATTTTCTTTTTGGAAGTTCTAACAGTCTGGGCTGACGCTAGTTGCAACAAACAGCCCTGAAATATTCCAATGCCAAGAACCTTATTGATCAAAATCAACATTTAAATTGTACCAGGAAATAAAACATGGCTCAATGCAGAACCCACATAATTGGTGTCATATGGTTTCCACAGTGAGACCTAGTAAGCACTGCTGTATTTATCACAGTTTCCAAATAGTCTTTAAGAGTAGTTCATTAAACCATATCACAATAGTCTAAATGGGTGGTAAGGACATGCAGCTTCTTCTGGTCAAGGGAAAGCTGCAAGAAGTGCACCTGGCCATAGGCTCAATTTCAGTTGCTGTTCCAAAAAAAGCATGAATCCAGAAAGGCTTCCAAACCACAGAGCCAATCTTTATAGGTAATGCTTGCCTGTTGAAAGTTACTAGCCAGGGAATTTTGTCTTACTTGGGTTCAGCTTCCACCTAATTCTTCCATCCATGTCATAAAAAAGTCAAGAAAATTATTTTGTTATTAAGTCTGTATATGTTGACAGGCATGTTTCCACAGACTATCAGAAGAAGCAAATATCTTTTTTTAAATATTCATACTTACACATGTAGTGGAGGAATGGGAGATGGATCATAATGATAACGTCCCTCATGATGCCTTGCTTCAATTGGTACTGGAGGGTGGAAAGTTGAGAAAAGATGAGGTGGATCTGAAAAAAACAAAGTACAGATATCATTATTTTAAATTTTAATTATAGGATATTTTTTAAAAACCAATCATTTATTAAAAATTGCATTATTTTAATGCAGCATGTATTTAATGCAATTCCTGTTGCATTAAAAAACAAGTTTTTGTATTTATAAGTAGTTCTTGGTTAGTAACCATATGTTCAGCAAACATTACGACGCTATTGAAGGAGAAGACTTATGACCGATACTCCAAATTGTGACTGTAATAGCATCCTCACAATCACAAATCAAGCACCAATCAAGTTTACAGACCTAGACTATTGGGGGAAATATGCTGACTCTGTAAACCGCTAAGAGACTGCTGTAAAGCAGTATATAAATCTAAATGCTATTGCTATTAAGAGTCACAATATTCTGTGATTACATGATCATCATTCATAAACTTCACTGCCAGTTTCAAATTTGGGGGCAATATATGGGGAAGCTGGCAGAAGATTGTAAATGGTGATCACATAACATTTTACATATTAACTATACAGAATATATTTAATTACTGCAACTGAAGCTGCTATAAGTGTCGTTGTAAATTGGAGCAGTCAGGTGATATCACACATTATGGCCTTGTTATACTTAGTGATGAAGTTGCCAGTCCCAATTACTATCATTAAGCAAGAATCACCTGTATATGACCAATGTAATTGAACTTATTTGTGCATTTCTTTATTTTTGTATCATTTTGTATCACTCCAATTTTGATAATTATACGGAGAGAGAGCTACTGCTCAGGGATGTAAATTTTGTCCCAGAATACTGGAGATCACATTCAGTAATCATAATTATTTTTCAAATTTCTGCATTATTACTTGGATCCTGCCAGGCTTAATTTAGGATGTTCAGATAAGATGTTCAGGTAAGATGTTTAGGATGTTCAGATAAGACTATTTTTCATGCAATCCAGTCATGTTTGCCTTGACTTGTTGGCTTCCTATGATTATAGTAAAATAGATATCATGCAGTATCTAATTTTTGTTTGGCCAAGAGGCCAGGGACTGAACCATCTTTACAAAAAAATATTATTTACTACTGAATTCTGACTCTCCACATCTCTTTTCCTATACTTTTTACAATCTTGCAGAATTGTAGGAGACAGTTCTGCCAAGACTGGAGAAGTATATGACAAAGATAGCCGTTTAACTGAGTTCAGTACAAATTTCATTTATATGAACCCAAGCCAAAAACTTAAGAAACAGATTATGATTCTTTCATTTTACCATGGCAAGTGCAACCATTTTTCTCTAATGTTCTCTTTGTACTACTTTAAATGGATGTTATAGAAAAAGGTATTTAATTGTCATAGACCTGTGTAGTGTCACATCACATGGATCAGCTAGTATTTTCTAAGCACATCTCAAGAAATTAAAATTAGATTTGAAAGAGTTAGGAAAAAGCTATGAAATATTAATACAATGTAATATAGTATTTAGAAGAGCAAAATTACAGAGCAATACTGAACAAAAGAAACCTAAAAGAATACAAATTTGGTAATTAAGGAATTATACAAGAACATGTTTATAGTTGTAGCTTAAAAAATTGAAACCATGTACCATAAAAAATAAAATATATGGTATATGCAAGATAAATCAGAGAAGTATGAAAAAAAAGATAGGAAACTTTTAAAGCATAAACAGTGATAAAGTAAGATATGAGTTGTGCAATGGCCGAGCCTCCTATTAGGAAGATTGAGAGTTTAATCCTAGGTAGCAGCAAATGTTTCTCTTCTAGAATGCAAAGAAAAATATCTGCTGAAATATTGGTGTGACATCAGGAAGGGGATCCAGCCAGTAAATCCTATCCAGTCTACCCAAATTAAGGGTAGAGGATCATAAAAAGGGAGGAGTGATAAACTAAGTGGGAAGTTTCAAAAACCATATTCATGTATTTATTTCATCAAATATAAGGTAGAACCTAGTAAGAGATATGAATCAAAATTGTTAAACCTAATTCACAGAATAAACACATAACTATTGCGAGTGAGCAAACAAAATCAAAACATGTAAGATCATACTACCCAATTTCAAGTTAAGATGGTGCTGTTATCAAGTATATTAATATTTTCTAGAAACTCTTAAAGTATTTTCATACTTATAATTCTGTAGTTTTAATTATTACCATAGGAACCATACACATATGATTATAGTATATTTTTATTAATGGAGAAGACTTTTTTTTTCTATTTGTCTAGATGATACTAAGCTGGTAGGAATAGCTAATAGAAGATAGGCTCAAGGTGCAGATGAATCTTGACAGACTTGAACACTGGGCCTATCTAACAAAATGAAATTCAACATAGAGAAAAGTAAACTCTTACACTTAGGCAAGAAAAACCAAAAGTACATGTATAGACTGGGTGAAACCAGGCTTGATAGCAGTAACTGTGAGAGGGATCTTTGAGTCTTAGTGGACAATCAATTAAATATGAGCCAACAGTGTGTGGCGGCAACCAAAAAAGCCAATGCAATCCTAAGTACATTTACATTAACAGAAGGATACAATCAAGATTAAGTGAGGTACTAATAAAGCCTTGGTAAGACCTGTAATGACCCGAGCCATGGTATGAAAGCAACACAACCAGAGAACAAGTCTAACTCTCCTTTATTGCTCCAGTTGTCCCAACGTCCCCATATTCACTACAAGTCCTGGAGCAAAGCTCTCACATGCACCTTCAGAAGCCTCTGGCTGCAAGTAGTCCAGGGTTAGCCACACAGGTTAGCCAAACAGTAACCAGAGCAAGAAGTTCAGCGAAGCAGGCAAACTGGGCAATCCCCACAAGACAGAGCACAGCAATCTCAGTCGGCTCTTGTTCCAGCTCATTTTCCCCCACAGATTCAGACTTCAATGGGGGTATGACAAGACCACATCTAGAATACTGCATCCAGTTTTGTTTACCACACTATAAAAAAGATGTTGAGACTCGTCCTCAACAGAGCAAAATGCTACAACGTCTTGCCTGTCAATGACTTCTTCAGCTTCAACCACAATAATATACAGGCAAACAATTAATACAAACTCAAGGTAAACCGCTTCAAACTCGATTGCAGAAAATATGACTTCAGCAACAGAGTGGAATGCTCTACCGGACTTCATTGTTACAGCCTCAAACCCTCACAGCTTCGATCTCAAACTGTTTACCATGGACCTCACCCCATTCGTAAGAGGTCCTTAAAGGGGGCGTGCATAAGCGCACCAGCGGGCCTACCATCCCTGTCTTACTGTCGCCATTTATCTGTATTTACTTCCTTTGTTCATGTTTATGTTCATACCTATGTTGGTTATCTTGTACACAAACAAACAAATAAAATATATTGGGAAGAATAATATATTAGGACAACAAACAAACTAACACTTTTAATATTTCAGCAGGTTTCCCAGTATCTTTCCTTTGAAATAATCAAATGGCACTTAGAAATATTTTTAATAGTATGCACACTGAAAAATGTTTTACTGATTTAAATTTTTGCTGAAGGATGTGAATTATTTACTTCTCATATTTACTATTGTATCTGCTTGGATTAAGGAGTCATTGAGTCTGACATCTAACTTACTAGTATGACAGCTGTTAAGCCATATAGGGGCATAGTATTCTACTACGGAGTAGACCAAGTCTAGTGCTGATGACCTGATAGTGACAAATGAAGCTCCCCATTTAATTTCATGTAATTTCTGGAATATGGGAATTTCTGGAATAGGGGTATAGGTTGTTGTTTAAGTAGACTTTCAGAGCTTCATATGCTATTTTCTTTAAGGTGCAAGCATGTAGTCATTGTTTTGCTGGTGCTGTGAGTGAATCTCAATGAAGAATTTTCCCAAGATTTTAAGATTTTTGGATAGGAGGCTGTCTTCCACCTCAATGTTCTTCTTGTATTACCATGGCCAAATCATTAGTTTGTCCAAATTTGCATCCCCTTATCACTGGCATATCTGATATGTATAAATAGAACAGTGCAGGTGCCATTACAGAGCCGTGGGAGGCCCTTGTTGGAAGCACCATTAGAAGACTTGAAGGAACAAAAATTAGAGATTAAATCTATGTGATTCTAAGAGTCACATCAACTTGATGACACATGATCAATCAAGCAATCAATCTTCATTGCAATATATCTCTAAGTAGAAAAACAATCTAGATTTAGAGCAGTGGTCTTGAAAGTTGGCAAACAAACACAACAGTTAATTCACAATAGCACAGCCCTGATTGTTCAGATGCCACAGTTGTAAATGTGGGAAAGGGACCTTTATTAGGTGACAACAGATATGCACAATGTGAAAATGAGGCATTAATTTTTTTCTAGTTAGCCATTCAAGGGATAAAGGGAAATTTCCAGATTGGCAACTAAAAATTGTTCTCAATTTTTATCTGCTAAAGCATTCAAATATTTTCTTTTCTTCAGAATCAACTTTTCTTCCTAAGAAGAATTGAACACCTTGACTGCTTTAAAATTTTTTCATTTATTGTTTTTCATAGTAGTGTTTACCAAACATTCAGCCAGGGGTGGGATTCTACCGGATTGGACCAGTTTAGGAGGACGACTAGTTCCGGTAATCATTTGGCACCCCATCCCACCCCTGCTCTTTCCTGTGGTTTATTTCCTTGTTTTTGAGCACAGCTGATTCACATGGCAGTGTGGTTCAACTGTTTTACTCACTGGGGCTGCAGCAAAAATAAGTATTATAGCTAAACCTGCTCATTTTCTAAATGCTGAGGGCCTGTGCATGCACTCACTGAACCGGCTGTTACACTGGTTGAATCGCACCACTGCATTTAGCCAAGTTCTATAAACTACTTTAGCTGAAAGAGAGAGCTATAGTTTTGAGTTGCCTTTGACTTCTCTCTGATATTTCCCATATTTTTAATATGTTTTCTTCTGAACCTTATAATTTACATTTTGATTGTATTTTGGAGGCACTCCAGAGGAGATATTCAATGGTCTATCAATTTTCAGTCCTGTTGTCACTTTAAAGATTT